GCGGCCCGCATGGCCGCCTCGAAAAGCCGCAAGCCTTTCGGGAAGAGACAGACACTCTCGGGATCGATAGTGACGCGAAGTCGAGCGCAAAAGTTGTGTACAAAGAAACTTAAGAAATTGATTTCTGGTATTTCTCGAAAAAAATTTTTCATAGAAAATATTTCTTTGTATAAAAGAAGGAGGGAAAGATTAATATTCGAATGGCAAAAATCATCACGCATCTTTCCAAATATCTCCAAATTTTCTAAAATGCTAGGATACTATTTCATATATGAGAAATTTCTCTAAAACGAATCAAGATTAGAGGAAATTAAATATATTCAAACATTGCCATGTTTCTTAAATTCGAAAAAAAAAAAAAAAGGAAAAAGAAATATAAGCAACGCTATTCGTTCAAACGGAGAAGAAGTACACAGCTAACATCCTCGAGACATCTCTCGAGATCACCTGAACAGTTTCATCCGTCAAATTCCCGATCATCCACGCCTCTTTTTCCCTCCCCCGCGTAGGGTGGCGCGAAAATCCCGTTAGGACACGACAATAGAATAGTGTAACGAGCGGAAACGTTGATTTCGATTAGGGGTGGCGGTGAATCCGGGCGTGGGGTGAAACGTAAGTAACCAGGCGTCCAACAAACACGCGTCTAAGGGCGCTCTGAGAGAGCGTTTCTTGGTTGTGTGTCGGCGGCGCTGTGAATTTATGGGGCCGTAACAGCGACAAGTGGTTCACAAGTCGCCGGTGGCATCACCGTTTGGCGCCCACCCCGAAAAGGGCTTTCTCGTTTCGCTCTCACCTCCCTTGCCCGGAACGAAATAAATTGGGTTTACCGTGGAACAGGCGTCGTTGCTCCACCAACGAGCCTCCGTCAGCCTCTCCTCTCCTCTGGCGGAGGATGCTGCACGGATTTCCCGGCAACGTTGCTGATTTTACGCCCTCTGCGTGGCATCGTGTCACCGGGGGGATAATTATGCAGACCGACGAGAGAGAGCTACTTGCTTAAATTTCACGCGTGCACACGCCTGGTCCGTATCTTAAACCCTTCCCGGAGAGTTTCTTCGGTGATTAAATCTTATTTGGGTTTCTTGCGTTCGCGTTGTTTTCGGGTTGAATTGGATGTAACGTGTTGTGTTGCTTACGCAAAACAAAATTTAGATTTATGTAATATTTTTCACGTACTTTATCGAGGAAAATTGATTAAAATTTACTTTTCACTGATCAGTGATAAATAATAGATCGTGTAAAACGATTAATAATTCTTAAACGAAAGAGTATCGAAATTTACGTTTCACGATTCGAACTATTTCATCCTCGAAGAGAATAAAAATTCTGCGTGATATTTTTAGAAGGAAGTGTCAGAAAAGGGGGGGAGGGATTCACGCAATAACACCCGGTGATTCGATTTGAGGCCGTGCGGTATGAAGGCGACAGCCAACGTTTCCTCTCTTCCTCTATCATTTCTCTCGTTTCGCTCTTTCTCTCTCTCTCTCTCCCTCTGATCCTCTCGAGCACTTTGTAGGTCGTGCCTCCACCCCTGGCACCCCTTTCGAGAGCGACGGTTTAAAGCGTATTAATTAACCCTTTATTAGACCCGAGTGAAAACCACCGCTTTCGCGCTGGCGCGAGATGAGCCCGATTCAGGAGGCCACCTCCTGGATCGGGGGGGTATCGTTCAGTATTTATGAAAAGCTTCCAGGATATTTTCCGCTGGATCGACCCTTCTCTCTCTTTCTCTCTCTTCCACGATGCTCGTCCCGCAGATTTTCCAAGTCAGCGTTTTTTTCTTTTTTCCCTCGATGGAATCTGAACAAACGATATCGTTTAATGGTAAAGATAAAGAGAGTACTTTTACTCAATCATATTTTGCGTCGTACGTTGAAAAGAATTGCGAATCGTTCGTACAATTTTTTCGTTTCGTTTCGTCGAATTGAATTGTCGAAATAATTCGTGTTGAAAGAAAGAATCATTATTCGATAAAACGTGACTGAGAATTGAACTATAAGTCGCGTTAGTTCAACAGAGTATCGAATATGCAATAAAATTACACACCTTTTGCGAGATTACGTATATTCTTTCGAGGTCTGATCATATATCTACTTGTTACTTCTCCAAGCTTATTACTTATTACTCTAATACCCTCTACGAAGCGTCTTTCCAATAAAATTTAATTCATATTTCCAATTAATAACCAACTTACAAGAAAAACACGTCGCTTAACTTCTCCGCGTTCTTTTCGTTACGTTTCCAACTCGTAATTCGATCGAACCGCGCCGCGTTCCTCGACTTACGATCGCGCCTCGAAGGGCGGGTGGGAAGAAGGAGAAAAGACGTACAACAGCGTAGGATCTGAGAGGGAAAGAGAGCCGTTTGTCTGTCGAATGGTCCACATATATCGCTCGGTCTTCTGCGAGGGGCGAGTGTGCTCAATTTGCCACGTCGAGGGTCGCAGGACCCGGTGTACCTAGCAGAACGTGAAGGAAGGGGGACGAGGAGGACTGTCGGTGGAGGGTGTCTCGGGTCCCCGAGAGGACGGGGCAGGAGATGTAAGGCCTCGGGTGGCACGATGTACGATGGGATCGAGATGAGATTGTCCCGCTAGAATCGTTCCTTTCCTCTCCTTCTCTCGCTACACCCTTACTTGCTTTTCCACGGTGCTCGCAAAACTACCCTTTACTCTTAACAGTCCTTCTTCTTCGATAAACTCTTTACGGGCTACGGGACTCCTCCGATGCCTCCTCCTCGATTCTCTCGGTTATATGGCTCCCTCCCCTCCCCCTTCCCCATCGTCTATTTCCTACGGGAGTATTTGAATACTATCGTATCAGGATTTGACACGACAGTAGTGATGGTGATATTCAATAAGTTGTAGCATTAGTATCGTGTTATTGGGAAGAATAGTATTATGGATATGATGATGCGGATTTTATATCTTTAATATTCGAACACGCAATATAATGAAATATTATCTATTCTTCTATAGAGAAATTTTGCAATCTTTTCGATCGATGAAAATTTAGTTATAAAATTTATATATAAAATTACGCACGATTTCTCTCCCCTTCGATGGTTCAAAATTTAACTTGGTGGAAACACATCCTCGAAGAAGGGGTACAATGGAAACGGTGGAGAGTCACGCTCGACGCCCAGTCACGACACCGTGGATCGCCATCGTGAGCGCAACTGTAAGACGCAACGTGCGCTTGATAGCCTTATCCCGAGGGCGAAGATCCGACGAGGATAAGGGGCAGAGAGGATGATTTTCGAGCATAAACTCGGCTAACGCTCGGGGTAAGACGGAGGAAGAGAGAGAGAGAGAGAGAGGTGGTGTTGAATGGTGAAGGGTAGTTGGCCGAGGCGCACACGTGAGGACGTAGACAAGGCGAAACGAGACGAGACAATGCGGATATTGGACCGGGGAAATATTCGAGACAAAGTATAGGGTATAGTTGTCGATAGAACGGTGAAGATGGCGGAATGGCGTGAGGAAACGCGAGTAGACAAACTTCCACGTTGAGGCAAAATCTTCGTTGGTTATCAGACCCTGTCGCAACGATAGATACAAGACTTCCACTCGGATACCTGCTCATTACAAGGGGATGAAGAGGCAAGGAACACAATATCGGCTCGCGTTTTGGGGGGGAGGGGCTCTGATAATTGGTGGCTCGGTTGAATCGATACTCTTGTGAAATTCTTGTCTCGAGTGTGATGGAATCGAAGAATGTTTATTTTTTTTCTCGTGTTTCTTTTAGATCGATGGTTAATAGAAATTTAGAGAAAGATAGATAGATAAGAAGTGGCTGAGAATTAGATCGAATCGATATTCTTGGTGTGGCGGTAGTAGAGAAGAATATATATTTCTTTCTTTCTTTCTTTTTCATCTTTTTCTTCTCTACGATCGAAAAGAAATATACTTTTGTATATTTTTTTTTAAATGTTTCCCTTTTAATATTCTTCGTTATTAGTTTAAATTTAGCATATAGCCACGCGTATTGTACTTCTCTCGTTAGTGTTACGAACGAGTTGAAATTATCTGGGAATATCTCAGTTAGCTGAGCTCAAAGTTTTCGAAGTTTGGATAGTTCAAAATTCCGAGTTATAAGTCAATGATTGTGGGGAGTTCTAATGGTTTTATTGACAACTGAATCTTCTGCTGGGTTTCCCGATGAATGAACACAATCACAAGAATTACAAGCAATATATCTTTTCATTCTTATTAATAATATTCCATTACTCAAACATTTTATTGCGATATACATACATTCTAAAAATTAAATAATAATCAATGCTGAAATTTTAATAATATCTTTAACAATAGAACCGTATCATTCTTCTTGTATATAAATTTTGTGATAAATCGTAATTCAGATTAAACTGCTCGACTCTTTAATTCTTATTATTATCGACAACATCAATCCACGAAAAAATATAAACAATAAACTTGAAACGAAATCAAAGAGACCCAAACAAATTCCAATAATAACTCATCGACGGATAAAGAAAAAACCTCGACTTTTCCTCGCGCAATCATAACGCGATGACGCATAATCCGCGTGTTCCTCGGGCGGAAACTCGATGTGATCGAGGTAATAACAGACACGAAGAAGGCGAATCGCGCGAGACCCTCGGGATCGTGGATCGACTTTCCGGGAAAAACGAAGGGAGAAACTATCCTTCTATCCTTCCTGCATCCCACGGAGCTAGGTATTCGTCGAACGTTTTGCGACGGGTTAGCCGATCTCTTTGGGTGCACGTAGGGCGAAAGTAGGACCTGTTTAATGGAGCTCGAGCCATTCTGGAAATTTGATCGGCGAGAACAGCCAGCCACCCAGTCGTTTCTTCCTCCTCCCCCCTCGCAATCTTTTCTCGTTTTTCTTATTTCAACCTTCTTGCCCCCATAGGTTTCTCTCTCTTTCTCTCTCCCTTTTTCCGTTCCCGGTATCGCGTTCCTTCGAGGATTCCTCTAGCAAGGACAACTTTGATTTGATTCCGCTCGATGTCTTGTTCTTTCTTCCGCGCGCACCCCCTTCGATCGCGACAAATCTGCCGCAGCGGATGGCTGCTGTACGCTCGAAAAACAATCCTCGTCGTACGATTTCGAAACTCGATATGGGGTTGTTGTTCGTTGGAAAAATTTAGAATCGCGAACCAATGTTCGTAAAGTATTTTGCATTCGATCGTTTGTGTATTTCGAACGAGTAGATTGTGATCGAGGTGTGAAATTCGTTGTTTCGAATTTAGAGGATGGAAGAAAGAAAGAATTGTTTAGTTTAAAAAATATTTTGGAAACGGAATATTCCGAAGGAAGGTGAATGCGTTTCCTTTTCGACTTTGCCGAACTCAAAACTTACTTTTCCAATCTCGAGAAATTCCGCATGGATACATATTTCCACATGGTACCAACTTTCGAAGCGCGATCTCCGATCGCATCCGACATTTTCGAGCGATAAAATAACGCTGACGTAAACTGGAAGGAAGGAAATGCAAAATAGGGATCAGAGCGATAAGTGGTGGCCCCGCATCGATAGTTCTCGAAAATTTACCGTCCCTCCCCCTCTTCGACCGGTCATCGAGGGAGATGAAACGTTTTCCGTTTGCATGCAAAGCGCCGCCAGTCGACTGACCATGGACGTCGGTATGCCATTGTGAAAACGAACGCATACGTCGCTGCGTGCTCCTTTTTGCCCGCAGACCGATACCAACTTGGCCAGGAAGTGACATGCTTGCGAAATGGGGTGAAAATATCGTAATAGCGGGAAAAAGGCACCAAGAAATATACGTGTGCGTATGAATATATATATATATATATACACGAGAGGATGGAACAAAACGAACAGCATTGGATATGCACAGAAATATCACTGGGACGGTTTGATAGATAATACTCGTTCCAGTTCCGATAACTCGAGTAAATTATTCACACGTTAATGTCGGTTGTTGCTCTCTTGGAATAGATGGTTTTTATCGCACTTTGTTCTACTGATTGAAGACACAAGATTGAATCAAAGATTTGTTAGGCATCGCTGTTCATTAATTGCGGCTAAATATATACCGTTTTCACGTGTACAAGATATAATAATTTATCTCTTGTGTCTTTTTCCTTACGAAATATTAGAAAGGAGTGTACTATAACGGTTGAAAGGGGAAGAAAGATAATTAGAATAATTTCGAGTCGAATTGTCAAATATCCTTAAATATTTAAAAAAAAAATCTCGAATATCTCTGTATTCTTCCTCTGAAGCGGAATACAAATATAAATGCAAAGGGGAATAAGGAAAACCATCTTCCATTCTATGGATATAAATAACGAAATCTCGAATTCTCCGTCCGCAAGAAACTTTCCAATATGATATCGAACTATTCTCGTATACCTTCCCTCCAACATATGCGAGTCGTACGAAATTTAACGACATCTCGTCCGCGTGGAGAGAGGGGGGGCGGGAGGAAAATGAAATAAAGGTAAAAAACGGGCGCAGGAAGAGGAGGAGGAGGGAAGTCTTGGGACATAGGGGTCACGGGTGGCTTGTTTGCACGCCCATTCTCTGCATGGCCATCCTTGACCGTGGCTGTCCAGGGTGGAACCTCGACCAGGAGGAGAGGACCCTTCGTGGCCATTACTTGGATGGCAAACACACTTGGACCGTTTGGTTTGTCCTTCCATCCCGGCCGCATATAACGGCCCGACCCCTGTGTATCGGCATGAGATTTCTATTTAAATGAGAATCCATTAGAATCTCGAGGCGGACCCGGGGGCAGAACGATGCCTCGAAAACTTTCCTCCTACCGGATACTAATCAGCGTTTCCTGCGCCCCGCACCACACCCGACTTCTTAAACAGCTAAAGATCCTGGCTAGAGCGACTCTGATTGTCCGCGGATCAATCCAAGAAAAGTTAATATCCTTAATTCCACGAAAATTATAATATCGAAGAAATGCGGGGGAGATTGAAATTTTAATGCACGATGAAGATATGAAGTTTTGAAATTCGATTTATTTATTATTCGCATCGTATGAAGAATGTACCATTGATATCGATACTCGTCATCTATTGTAACGAATAAATTAATCCAGTTATTGTCACATTAATATCCTACAATAAACGTGGATATTAAATGAAAACGTGAATACATATCGTTGAATACGTAAAACGATTATCACAATTATAGATTAATCTTAATAACAACTGCATCATTGCTACGATCATTCTAAAATTTCAATAATTCTCTCCACGCTTACAAGAATGAAGGAGCGAAACAACGGTCGGTCCCTCGGTCCAACCAGTTTAACCTTAGATCTCCTTTCGCTAATGTATTCATAATCGTGCGTGCGGTCGAGGACACGGGGGTCCCTCCATCGAAATCTCCACTCGACGGCGCGGCACGCGCCTTAATCGTCGTTAATGATAACGACGAGTGTAGAATCCCGCGTAGAATTTCCAGTGACGCGCATTCAAAGCCTCGGTTCCCTCCTTTCCGTATGAAGCAACGTGAGCGAAACGCAGTCTTGAGTGGCTAACGGCGGAAGACGGGCGTGTTCCGCTCATCCTGCGTGTCGCGAGGGGTTTGGTCGCCTATTTACGCGCATTGGGGACCTCATCATTAAGAGAGAGCGTGCACGAGAGAGAACGGAGAGAGGGAAGACGCAGAAATGACAAAGCCGCTCGTTAGGCCCTCCGAGGGTCCTCACGAGGGCATCGCCAAGGGTGAGAACGTGCTTAGGCCCTCGATCCGTCCCTTCGACCTACGCTTTTCTCCACCACCCCCCACCCCGTCTCCTTCTCTGACCTCTCTTCTCCATTGCGTGCACCCTCTCGAACACCCTTTCCGCGATGGTCAGCCTCGAGGAACTTTTGCCCATCGACGAACCTCGTGATTTGTCCACGGGTACTTCCCGACCGATTTTCTTCTCGAGATGCTGGTTTTGGTATATGTAATAGGGGGTAAAGTAAGTAAAAGTAGATTTTAAAAATTAGTAAAAGATAGGAAGGAGAAATTATTCAGATATCTAAATCTTATCACATTAAACGCGTTAAAAACGTCTTTATGAATTAATGAATAATACAAACGATAGAATTTTAGATTCGATAAATTGACGATGCTGGGCGCAACGTTATTTGTTATCGTTAGCTCCGGCTGTTGAAGCATCGTTAGAGCTGAAAGCCGCGAAGTCGTAGGAAGTGAGTTACTGCACCATTGGCAATTACGCGTTGACAACATCCGTCTAATGGTGCTTCGCTCGTAAACGCTCGGTCGTCTTGCCTGCTTCTCTCCTCTTTCCTCC